GATGGAACTGGCTCAAGAAGATCGAACTGTGGCTTCAATTCTATGAGTTGTACGATATGAAGTCCATTGCCAGAATCGAGACAAGATATGACTTGAAATTGTCTGGCGGGTAATAAAAGCATTTCATCTTCGTTGGGCACGAATGAATGTTTTTTGATGTCCTTCGCTGTGGTGCACTCTATTTGAAATAGAGTTCTATTTCCAGTTTTGCCGAAAAATTGTTCATTTTCCAACACTGCGACTGATGACGTGCACGATGAAAACCCCCACCAAATGAAAATTTTACCTAGTGGATAATCAATCCACAAGTTTTGTTTGACTCCTCGAAAAACGGCACGATTCTTTGATGGAAGACGAGCAAGCGCTGTCAGTATGAGTCGAAGATAGAGAAACCATGGGATTAATTGTTTTCTTTGTTCGGAACGTAAAGTGGCATTAAGCTTAACATACAGGGAGTCTTCATGTGGCATCGATTCATAGGTGTAAAGCATAATTGAAGCCGATTCGTCACTTGTTAAACCATTTTCTGGCTCTTGGCAGTTCTGTTTAACTATAAATACATTTCGTTCGACTTTAGGTACAATGCTGATCAGAGGTTTTACAGCTTCGTCAAGCGTAACAAGCGGTGCTTTTTCATAGCCTTCTATGGGTGCCAACATTCGTTTTGGTAATGTGCCCACATCAGCAAAGCGTAAAGCAGAATGTTTTTCGTTGATAGTACTATGAGCCATATGAATGTTCTAAATCAAGAATATAACATATATGATATCACTCAAATTCTTTAAATCTGATATAGAAAGACATTCTTCCACGATACGCTATTCTATACAACAAACTAACCATTATTGAAATAAAAAGAATAAGAACATAAACTTTTGCTCTTGCACCAAGTGAACTATGATGAACATGATATCGAACATTCCAGAGTAAATGAATCTTACACAAACTTGTGCATAACTTTCGTAACTTGCATCAAGCAAATGAGAGTTTGACATCAAAAGGTTTTCGCGTTCCGTTCATTATAAACTTGTATAAAATAATTTAAAATAAAGAAGCTATTGAGAAATATATCGGACTGAAGAATAAGATAAACTCAATTGCTACGATTTGTAAATTAGTGCTGTATTAAAAGCTTCTTTGATTAGATCTTAGAAGTTAATACAAATATTCTCATGTAAGTGCATGAATGTTAATTAAGTTCATCATGAATTCTTATTGATTTAATAGTCTTACTTTGATGAACTACTTTCAACATTCTCACTACAAACTAAACTCATATCAAACCAGCATAACGAGTGAAGACTTAAATTTATATTGGCATTTTCAGATCTTCCATAAAACTAAATGCTTTTGAATCAATATTAGTGTAACTTGAGCTTCATTTGTCATAAAAACTTTACAAATAACATCTCAAAGAAGTCCTTTTGAAACGTCAATATAAAACTCATTGACTACCTCTAGGATTATAACTACTATTATTCTTGATATTAATAATAAAAGCTACTAGAATATATGACCTACGACAAAATCTTCTTCGATATCGTCGCATAGTAAACAACACCCAACCGGCCATCTGATAGGCATTTCGATGCGTAGATTTAAGGTTGCCATGGGCATCGAAATTTCAAATGGATGTCTCGGATTCTCATTTTTTGATAAGTTCAGGGATATGTCAGTAAAACGCGAAATTTTCGAATCAAGCCGTTCTACGAAAGTTATCTTTTCAATTCCTAGAAGGATAGTACTTTCAAGGTTGTTCTTTTAAAACTTGTTAACAGTTGTCACACATTAAAAGATAACTTTAATCGAATAAAACCACTTTTTGCTTCTCTGTTACTAGAGAAAATGCTTTTTTGGAGTCTCAGGTGCTATATAAGGAACTTATTTGATAAATAATTGATTTGTGTGATAAAATGTAAAAACAGAAAAAAAAATTTTCACACATTCAAAACGCTAAATTTGTTATGACTGTATTTTCCGTCGGAAACGCTTGTGAATTCCGATCTTACTTGTTATTTTTCATTAGTTAATGTTAAATGTTTTTTAGTAAGTTGTGAAACTAACGAAAATATA